TGGCAGGCGCCTGTAGTCCCAGCTACTTGGGAGCCTGAGGCAGGAGACTCGCTTGAGCCCAGGAGTTGGAGGTTGCTGTGAGCATGATGCCCTGGCACTCTACCCAGGGGGATAGCTTGAGGCTCCGTCTCAAAAAAAGCATACTAACTGCTTAACAATAAGTGAGGATTAAGTTTTTAAGTCTGCTGTATCCATATATTACTCTGTGATAGGCCATCTAGAAGACAGACTCAATAAGGTAAAGAATTACTATCCAAAGGGCAGGTGCCATGGCTCATAGCTGTGGTCCTGGCACTCTGGGAGACAGAAGCTGGTGGATTGCTTCAGCTTAGGAGTTCGAGACCAGCCTGAGCAAGAGCAAGACCCTGTCTCTAAAAATTAGCCAGGCGTTATGGCAGGCATTTATAGTCCCAGCTACTCCAGAGGCTGAAGAGGATTGCCTGAACCCAAGAGTTTGAGGTTGCTGTGAGCTATGATGCCATGGCACTCTACCAAGGATGACACAATGAGACTATGTCTGAAAAAAAAAAGGAATTACTATTCCTAATGCTATTTATTTAACATAACTATTATTTGGTATGGAAATTAAAATAGTACTATTTCGAGTGGCACCCATAGTTCATTGGGTAGAGCACAGGCCACTACACCGAGGCTGGCAGGTTGGAATCTGGCCCCGGCCAGCTAAAAAATGACAATGACAAGTGCACCACCAACAAAAAAACAGCCAGACATTGTGACGGGTAACTGTAGTCCCAGCTACTTGGGAGTCTGAGGCGAGAGAATTGCTTAAGCCCAAGAGTTCAAGGTTGCTATGAGCCGTGATACCATGGCACTCTACTGAGGGCAACATAGGGAGATTCTGTCTCAAAAAAACAAAAAAAAAAAAGAAGGAAAGCCTAATGGTAAAAAGTAAGCAGACAGGCAAAATGTGTCAGACAGCTGAGAGAACATGTACCAAAATGGTAGTATTAATATAAACAAGTAGAATTCCAGCTAAATGGGGCATAGATCTCACTCTTTGAAGTTGTGACTTTTGGATTTCCCACCCTAATTTAGCTTCCAATGATTATATACATTTTACTCATTTTTATTTTCCTTTAGCAATTTTGATTGATAGTTGAGGAATAAAAGAGGGTATGCTGGGGGAATATTCATCTAACTCAATATTTTCTTCAGAAGTCTAAATCTCTACTTTTCTCTAAACAGAAAACTGGCCTACAGTAAAGCAATGATGAAGATACTTTAAAGGAAAAAGCCATGAACAAATTTACAAAAATTTAATTTAATTGTACTTTGGCTGATGGTAGAGTTTCTTCTCTTTTTTTTCAGACCTTACTACCAAGCATGGAGTTGACATTGAGGATAGATTGATAAACTGCTACTCGACAGAGACTTTGACCGTCCAAAGCCAGAGTGAACCAGAGCGCCATGAACCAGAGAGCTGTGAATCAGGTAGAAATGTTGAATAGATCATTGAGCTTATGAGGGGTTACCTGGTACAATACATTCACATGTGCAATGTACTGTGAGTCTGCTTACATGTTTAAAATTTGATGACTATACTCCTAGATGTCCTTTTTTCTCTTATCTACCCTTTTGTATTTATTACTAACATGAACTCAGAATCCTATCAGCATCAAAACTGAATCCTAGATGGAGGAGCATTACAAAGATTACAGAAGAGGAATGGCAGAAACAGCATCCATATTAAAAATACAAATTAAATTACTATAACTCACTAAATGAAATGTTATATTTTATAGCAGCATTAGCAATCTTGCAGACCTTTCTTACACTTTTAAAAAATTTTTTATCTCCCAAAGCAATCCGATCATTCTTTGACCTATTATTATTGTTAGTAATATTACCTTACCGTATTTGAAATCTCAGAATCATCTTTTGTTCCAGTGTAATGCCCAACTGTGTTGCTTCTTCTTCTTTTTTTTTTTTTTTT